TGGCATCGCTTCCTGGATCTGTTGCCCTTCCATTTGTAGGCGCGAGCTACGTTTTCTGGGGAATCACGAAGAGTAGTAAGTATGTTTTTCGGTAGCATTCGTTTCTCGGTTTACACATTTTCTGGGTTAAAATACCAGAAGCTTTTGCACTGATTTCATTTAAATAGGCACACTGAGAAAAAAAGTTCGGTAAATCCAAACTAGTTTGGTTCATATGGAGCCAAGATTATTTTCGGTACACACGACCGAATTATTTGGTCTGCTCAGCCGAACTTTTCGGTCCACTGAACCGAACTGTAAGAATTTGTTATGGTTCGGTTGCACAAACCGAACAATTCGGTTGAACAGACCGAATAATTCGGTTGTGTGTACCGAACAAAATCGTGGTTCCATATGATCCAAACTAGTTCGGTTTTACCGAACTTTTTTTCTCAGTGCATGAAACAAAAGGTTAGTTGGCTTTACATTCAAATTTTTGCTAAATTGATGAATGTCTGTATTAGTCACTTCTGCATGCCGCGCACTAAGGCGCTTCGCGACGCCTAACCGCCACAAGAATCTGTCATGGTAGAGATTTTCCGGAAACTATATAGCATCCCTCCACATTTTTTGGATGCCTACTATCCACCTATTAGCTTGACGCCCTCTCCAACCTGGCATATCCCATACTCCAAAACCATTTTTAAGCAATCTAGTATCGGCCATATTTTGCAGATGCCCATATCATACCAACTGCTTGGTCATGATATACTGCACAGCGGGCTAGTTATTGAAATTGATAGACAAAGCTAAAGACAAAGAATACAAAAGGGATATGGAAAGATTCTATTGGTGGAAGCAGGTGGTTGCAATGAACAAAGGAGGTAGGAAATAGACTAACTAATGGCAACCCACGAGAGACCCGAAAGTGAGTCTATCATTTTCTCCCTTTGTCTATAGGAACCACCCATTTCAACCAATAGGTTCGCTTCACACTCCCTACGTCTTCTTTGTGTATAGCTTTGTCCATCAATATCAATAATCGCCCCGCAGTCATCTATTTAACGCCCACGTCTCTCGGACTCGTTCATTTCTACGGGCTGATTGTTGAAAGTGATGGACAAAGCAATAGGCAGAGAAGACATAGGGAGTAAGGAGCGATCCAATTGGTTGAAATGGGTGGCTCTTATAGACTTGCCAAAGCGTCTCTCGTGAATGGCTTCATTAGTCTATTACCTGCAGCCTTTGTCCATTGCAACCACCCGCTCCCACCCATCGGATCCTCATATATCTCTTTCGTCTTCTTTGTCTATAGCTTTATCTATCAATTTCAACAATCTGCCCGCTGAAACGTCCAATCCTCAAGATTCCAGTCAATTTTCGCCAAAAATCCATCTTTGTCGCCTTGAGGGTTTCTTGGGTCTGCTTTGTCAACTGCCACACTTTACTGCCATTTTTGCCAAATGATGCCAATGATGCCAAATTTTGCCAAATTTCAACAATCAGCCCGCAGACAAGTCTGAAACAGAAATAAACGGCACACGTAATCGCTTCTCTGGCGTAAAGGCGAATCTCTGTTGCCGTGCGAGCCTTGAAAAGAATGGAGTTATACGGAGAACAGGTCTCACCTGGGAATCCAGATACGCCCTTACGTCAGCGAAGCGACGATGTTTCAGCCACCAAAGCCTGCGCAGACAAAGACTCACATACATGAAGTTCGGTAATCAAATTCTAAACGAGTCATTAACACGTATTTTTTACTTAGATCAAACAAAAGTTAGATTACACAAATGACGTAGTTCGTATAATTGCCATTCGACCAACCAAAGAGAAACTCCGAAACTTTCTCAAATTTTTTTGATGATGACAATTTCAAAATTTTGACACGAAGATGTTCTCTTTACACTCTCTCAATAATTTATTGTATAGTGCTCTGTTGTTTAAAAATGAATTTGTGTTTTGATTTTTTAATAAAGGGCACTATCACCGCAGCAATTACAACTTCTTGGGTTTTTAAGTACCTTGCGCTGTATCCTGATACTCAAGAGAGAGCTTATCAAGAAATCAAGGAAAATTAAGTGGATGGAGAAGTGAAGCTGAATGATGTCTCCAAACTTATTTACATAGGGATGATCATCAAAGAGACCCTAAGACATGTTGCAATCCCTCTTACAAGCCGAAACCTCACGGAAGACGTCAAAGTTCGCGGTAAACAATTTGGAAGAAATATAAATACACAGGGTGTCCCAGAGTTGAACGGCCAAATCGCAGGAGTGTGTTCCGTAGGCCAGAATAATGCTTTTCGTAGATAAGTATTGCATAAGTGGCCACTGTTGGATTTACGGCCCCTTTCCTATAATTTTGGGTGATATATCGTTTTTCCCGAATTTTTGCCACGACTATGGATCAAACCTCATTCAGAATAACTACTTCCTAGCATATTTTCGGCATATGCCATTTCCTGTATATTACATAGTTAAACGAAGTAACCTATTTACATCAGTACAAACTAAGTTAAACCTCTTTGAACTTGACGAGTTTTCTGACTCTCTTTCAAATGGGCAGAATTCCCTTGGGGCAGAATTCCCTTGGGGCAGAATTTATCAAACTCTCTTTGCCTTTGGTTTGTAGGCAATATGACTATACCAGCAGGAACGAACGTTGTCATGTGCTTTCATGAGCTCCACCACGATTCAAAGTACTGGCAGAGGCCCGGGGAGTTTTACCCAGAGCATTTTTCACCCGCCAATGAGAGACGCAGACCTAAAGGCGCATTCAATGCATTTTTGAGTGGACCTAGAATCTGTCCAGGTAGGTATTTTATTTTTGAGCACAAGCCACTCATTATTTTTGATCCATGCATGTCTGGTGTGGTGTGTTTCTTTCATCCCGTCAAAAGTTTTCCATGCAAAGGCTATTAGCTGAAAAACTGATATATATTATCTTTTAAGCGCACCTTTTTCATTAGCAGCGAACTTCCATTCACAGATAATTGTGAGAAACTCTTGACCAACCTTGTTATGGGGACGGCAATAACTTAATCATCAGCCCGAAAGCGCAACCCGAATTAGCCTAACCATATTTCATGTTGTTTACTTGTACTCATTTCAACGAAAAATGTCAATCCTTATTGAATTTTTGAAAAACTGATACATAAGTTGAGAGTTTAAAGGGCTAAAAATAGATAGGTTCTTTTGCAAATCATGTCAATCAAATGTCAATCTCTATTGAATTTTCGAAAAACTAACATAAATTGCTAGTTAAAAGGGCTCAAAATAGGTAGGTTCTTTTGCAAATCTCCCAATATAAATACACTAATTTTTCATTAATGCGCACAAGTCTCTCTCATGTTTTATTATTTGAACATGATACGATACTTTACAGCATTTGCTTTTTTATCGGCATCAACATGATGTTAATTGATCTTTTTTAGGAAACAAGTATGCAATGCGGGCAATGGTATTCCTGATCGCAAGCACTTTGCTGAGGTACAAGTTCTCAATTGACGAAAAGCCGCCAAAAGATCTGAGAGAGATGGAGTATCGTTTCGTTTTCATGCTTTATCCTCTTTCTGGATTCCGAGTAAAAATACAGCAAAGGTGATAAATGTATGCTTTCTTCCTCACAAAATGAGCTTTATTCATAGACATTAGGAAGGAACTTAATTTGTTCTTTGCGCGAGTAAGCGTAGCATGATCAAACATGACCTATAATAATAATCGATCCAGTTCTCAAAAATGAATTGCGTTTAGTGAAGAAGAAGCAAGCCAAATCAAGTAAGAGCCGAAAGAGACAAAGGTCCTAAGTTTCATTCCCCTGTAAAACTTATAAATATAAATGATTTGACTCCTCTTTCCCAATTCAATTCAATATTTCCTCAACTTCGATTTTGTTCTTAAGAAATTGTCCAGCTAGATGAGCTTTCAAAATTACTCTTAACTTTTTTTTTGCTTATATTCGATTTGATTCCGATCTGTTTTTAGTCTGGTCCAAATGCGAATTTGAGTTTTCAAACGCGAGCAGCTTTTATGACACGGACATTTTTTTCTAAGTAAAATCATACACAGATTCATTTCAAGATGCTAAACAGCTAACGGAAGTAAAAGTCATTTCTAAATTTTTTTACTGCTTAAGGTGGATTACATTTCTCAACAAAAAGTTTCTTTTGGCTCTTAACTCTTTACAATATCTAGCCTCTGACAATTCACCAATCTCATACCATATCTTTGTTGCAATTTTAATTATAGTTGTTATCTGTCTAATTTTCAAAATACACTATTCCGACTTCTAATGGTTGTTCATCTTTTTTTCCGATGTATATTTTATCTCGATTTGATTCCAAACAGAGGCTCACCTGTGGGTTGATTATTGAATAGATAGACAAAGCTATTATAGAAGAAGAGGAAAGGAGGGAAAATGAAGCGATGGAGGTAAAGAATAGTCTCAGCCTATGACATGACAACCACTCACTTCAACCTATAGGATCGCTCCATGAATTGTTCCGCTGTCTCATTCGTCTACAGCTTTTTCTATCAATTTATATGAAATTTTGCAGGAAAATTTCTACAATCCTTCGATCCCAGAATTGCAACCTCGCGGTGTACACTGGGATATTTTCGGTGGCGTAGCGTGCTTTGCAATATATCGATTGTCATATCATTTAAACCTATGGAAAAAGATCGATAAACAGGGTGTTCATACTTAACACCTTCATAATCGATTCTTTAACATTTGTTTAAATGGCATAACAATCGATATGTCGCAATTTTCACCGCGGGCGGTACGTCTAAAGCAGCCGATACAATTGTGAGTAGAACGCGTGTGTTGGAAGTATGCAACGAGGATTTTGATTACTCGACGTTGAGAGTTCAAAATTCTGATCCTAGATTAACTCCTGTTCTAGGTGAATACGTTTTTCATGATTAAATTCAAAATTTCCGCTCATGGAAGAAAGAATACTTCACTTTGGTGAAATTGCACGGTAAACGTCACTCTGATAGCCTCAGCAATAAAATAATATGGCAACTTTAATAATAACACTTCGGCTCAGGTATAGCAAGCCGTGCACACTTTAAACAACACAGGGTGGGAAAGAAACAATGCTCGATTGAGTAGTCTGCTAAAGCCGTTCTAGTGCGCGATTTGACTTGCGTGGGGTATTGTTTTCTCGTGGCCGGGCAATTGAAATCTTTCGTAACGCATGTACAGTAAAAACGTTCATGACTTAGCTAGAAGTTGATTTCAATAGTAATCGTTGCGCGAATCGTGTTCTGCGTGAAATTTTTGTGAAGAATCATGTATCAGAGTGCTTAAATTCGTACCTTGTTTAATGGTTCATTCAATATAGGTAAAAAACGAAATAGAGAACTTTTCTTACTTTTCTCGGAAAAAAAATTTATCGGTAGAAATGAGGCAAAGTTGGAATGTTTATACGGCGTCAAAACACAACATGGGCCTTTTAAGCTCCACTGTGCGATTATCCTAACTCCTAATAAGTCACTAAAATAGTGCTTCTGTGCTCTCTCCGACACCCAACCGCCACTGATAGCGATCCTGCCAGCGCTCCTCCGGCAGATTGGATCTCATCAACTTTTAAACTTTAAAAATGTTTTTGAGAGTACATTAATTTCATAAATATGTGTATTATGTGTATTATGGTTAATGCCATTGAAATTCAAACAATTCTTATTTTGGGAAGTCAGGACTCGTTTTGTAAATTGTTACGGTTTTAATGATTTTATTACTGGCGGCAATTTGTTGCAACATTAGTGAACCCAAAATTTTCGCAAGGTTTTTGAAAAAAATATGCTATAGACCATTCCTATGTAAATGTCGTGCGAAGACATAAAGAGAGAATCCAAGGCACCCACGGTTCGACAAGTTCTTGATGAAAAAACGAAGAGATATGAGAGCCAAGACCTGATAATGGGGGTTCCAATCGATGTATACATATCACTATTATGGTTAAGAGATTGAAACGGTAGAAAATACTACAACATTCGTTTAGATTTAGCTTTTGGGGTATGCATGAGGGTGTGAATGCAGTATGGAAGGAGGAAAAGGCAGAGGATGACCAAACAGCATAATTAAGGGAGCAATGTAAGATATTTGATTTTCTTGTAGCAAAAGACAGAGAATTCTAAAAATTTCTGGTGTTCTACATCATTAGTATTACCTAATGCACTTAGTTCCTTAATACCGTCGTTGCGTCGTTAATTTAATTCTTGTAGATGGAAAGATACAGGTAAAATAATCGATTTGTGACGTTGCAGACTCCCTGTCATACTTAACTTATTGAACGGGAAACTACCTACTCAACGTCTCTTTTTTTAAAAATTCGGTGATTTTTTTTCTCTATGGCAAGCAAATTCTTTGAAAACTTCAAAGATTAATGTTGATTTATTTGCCTTAAAAATAAAATGGAAGCGGGAATTTTATAACACCTCAAACGAGATAGGTTGTTTAACAGTTATACCGTTGATATAGTTCTCGAGGAAATTAAAATGTTTTTTTGGTAAAGGGTGATGAAAAAATAGACGTCGATTTTTTGCGGTATCAGTAGTAGAATTTTCACGATAAATTGAAAAATAATTACGATTTTATCTCGATGAACGTGAGTGGAATTTCTAATTTGCTGCAGAAGTGACGATTCTGTTGATTTTAACCCGAGAAATTGTGTTCAAAAATCTTTCAGAAATTCTTCTCAAGATCCATACATTGTATGGCTACAGACCTCGGCATATATAGGTATTCATCGACAAGAAATTAAATAATCATATGATAAGACATTTTTTGTAGCTATAAGCATTATTGAAAGAACCGACAGTAAGATACTGGCCGCCTAGCAAACAGAGGTCGCCAAAATTTTGTCATCACGTCTCTGCAAAAATTTACGGTACGGCCTTCTCCTCTCAAAAATATTTAAGACGTCCTTTTCGGCAGTTGCCGGGTTGGGAAGAATTTGGACGAGATAAAACACAAATATGATCCTGGTGATATAGTGGCAATTAGCGGCTCTGGTGCTTGCACTAGAGCTGCTATTCCGGACGGTCCCAGCTGGGGAGTATCAATGCAGCATGTTACATTGTAGAGACCGCGCGTTGGTTGATGGGAATCGGCGCCATTTTCGGCTATGTTCCTTGTCATGACTTTATTTTATTGCATACTGTTTTATTGTTAGTCAATGCTATGTTGTGTATTGTATTTTTGGAATCATGGTGATACAGTCAACAATTCAAAACTTGTTTGTGCTTTTATCTCGTGATGGAAAAAATGTACTTTACGTTCAAAATTTGAAAATTTGAATTTTAAAGTTTTCGCGGTTAAGGAAGCTTTAACTACTGGGTTGGAGCTTCCTAGTCATATTACTTGATATCAGCTGATAGCAAACAAAGGTTACCAGGGAAACCGTAAACGTCTAAACAACTATCGTGGCCATTGGGGCGATTATTGAAATGATATCGACTGTATGTCGCCGCTTACGACAGGACATAGCCCTATCTTAACTGTGTAATATATCGCAATTCGATATTGTTTTGATTTTTAAAAGGAGCAATTCATTCATACAGTTCCGATTAGTTTTGGCGAACGGGCCCTTAACCTACGACACTCGGCTCATGGGAATTTTTTAACTTGTCCTGGACGGACTCGTCTGTAGCGCCTCGTTCTTCGTTGTGTGTGTGATTTCGTGAAGAAGTTTCTATGGCAATTTGCTTTTATTTGTGAGCTGTTTTTTCACGGGATTTTTGAATGTTCTGTACGAATAAATTCGGTGAGTACCTCATTTATCCCTCCTTCCAGTAAAATTATTTTAACTTTTCCTTCTCCCTCATTCTGGACCCACTCATGGGCTGATTATTTATGAAATTGATCTTCGAATACCTTTTGATGAGCTAGGGAAATGGAACCATCTGCATCTCATGGACAATAAATAGTTGCCGTAATTAAGGTCATCCCGTGATTAAGGTGCCGTGATTTAAGTCATAAATTCTTCATCTAATTCTTGATTCATCTCCAAAATGTCTGCTAAAGCTTTCATGCGCTTCTCCTTGTATGCATGAATGAGCAAATTGGGTATCGAACAAGCGGACACTTTTTGAAAATTTAGATGATTCTGGACAATATCGTACAGAAGTCCACGAGCTACAGATAGAACCATTACCTCTAGCTCATCAAAAGTTATTCGAAGATCATTCAACAACCTCTTTGACAAGTTGCAAAAACTTTTCGTTAACAATAGTGTCACACGGTACTAGGAATATTTACTATTTAACGAACCTTATATTTCCCTGACTCAGTCCTAAATTATAGAGGTATGCGTTACTTTTCCAGCAATCCAAAAAAACAATTATACAAAAAACCAATACCTACACTTTCAGATATAAAAATGCAAATTTTTTGCAGCCTCGCTAAACGACTTATCAACCAGAGATTTTTTAGGAAGCGGGCCTCCAAAGAGCTTTCAAAATTAAAAGTATACAACAAGTGATAATGCCATGTATTCGCCATATCAAAGCCCAATACACATTTATACACCGGCTACGTAAATCTGCTAAGTTACAAAACATGAATCGACAGTTGTCGGATTGTACATCAATGACAAAATGTGTCTAGGCCCTCATTCTTGACTACAACTACTGCCCCCAGAGCCGCTCTCCGACGCCAATGCGTTGGAGCTTCCTGCTTGTTTTTGGTTGCGATCCAAGCCGATGATGAGCCGTGAACATGAGACAATGAATTATTCAAAAGAAAAAAGCTGACCCACTTAACATCCTGTCACCGGACTGTGTCATTTTGAAAATTCAAAGTTCGGATGGAGCAGAAAAAAAAGAAAAAAAGAAGGTCAATTTCAGACGAGCACGTGCTGTGAAGAATGGAACTCGGTCACAGTTTAAGTAACAAATCACATTGATCTCGTGTCGGTACGTGGGACATACTTGTGTCGATTTAAAAAGTGAAATTTTCAACTGCAGCAGATTACTAACTAACCAAGGGTTCGTACGTGTTGATTTTTGATACAGTGCTATTTTTACCCACACTATTAGTGCATTGACCCAAGTTGAGTCAAATTAACCGACGACGTTGTACTAAACTTAACTGTTTCAACTGAACTTTCGTAGCTGTAATCGTAACACGAGTTCGTTTTGAGATAGCGAAAAGTTGGTGACAAAACTTGACCACATACTTACTACTTACGCTCATATATTCCCCTCAGGTCATATTGCTGGTATGGATATCAATATTCCACAACTAAAAATCTCACATATTTTATGGATTTGTTTAACTGGTGCTCTTCTTATTCGCGCGTTTTATCGGCGGTGGAAACATCAAAAAATCTACTCATTCATGGCATCGCTACCTGGGCCAGTGTCTTTGCCATTTTTAGGTGCAACCTACATGCTTTTTGGAGTATCCAGTAGAAGTAAGTGTCTTTTTGCTCGGAGTTTTTACTTTGTAATTCCATTTCTGGGTTAAGTTCCCTCTGAATTTGAGGGGGACTAACTATCGTTTTTGAAAGATTTCAAATAGAACCAAGAATTAATTCACAAATGAGACATTCATAAAATATTTCATTATTTACATGCCGATTACATCGTGAATTTGGTGTCCAGTGGAGTTGTCTTACTTTAAATGTCCGATGGAAGAAATATCTAGTTTATTGTAGCATGACTCACGTACCAATATTTTTTCTCTCTTTAAAATTGGAGGGTTTTAATGTGCATGGCTTTACTTACAGAAGAGAAATTCATCAGTTTGAGATAATTCTGGGAGGAAACATCTGATATGTGGTTGCGGAATGTTGCTTTGCTTTTTTTCAAGTTCAGAAAAATGCGTATTGACTCATTATTAAAAATTTTGCTTACTGTGGTATGTACGTCGCAGGGAATTAATCAAATAAGGCATTATATCAAACGCCTTAGCAGATAGCCAAATTTTGACAGTTTACGAAATTTTGTAAATTTATGGAGAAGAGCTCAAAAATTTTCGATATTTTGGAGAAAATAACTCATCAAATCTACAAACTTTCCTTGTTCCTTCTTCCTCAAATGATGCTTACACATTTGAATGGTGCGAAATCTTAAAAATTTCTGTAGTTTATATTATGCTAAAAATTTCAAGATAAATATTCGTTCAGGAGCTAAAAATTGTGTAAAAGACCACTGTATGATACACATTTTCACGGAGCGTTCTTACTTACGGGAAAGATGAATTATTTTGCCTAACATCATGATGAGAAAAAAAAAAAAAATTCAATCTGCGAAAGAGTATTTGACTATTTGCCTGAGCATTTGACAAAATGCCTGATTTTACTTTTTGCCTGCAACGTGTAGAATAACAATATTTACGAGTCATTTTTCAGATTTATGTTCCAAAATGAAAACATTTGTGAAGATGTATCCTGGTGTTGCTGGATTCTGGGAACGAGAGCAACCTCACGTTGCTACAAGCAGTCGGGAAGTATTAAATGTAAGAAACGGTCTTTCAAATTTTAAATATAATATCTGGACGGAATTGAAATGGCACAAAGTTCAAATTCGATTTTATGCACTAAAAGTGAGACTAAACCTTTTTTCCGACGTTCGTCCCATTTTTCAGAGGAAAATGTTTACCATTTGAATAAGTAACCTATAATAAACCTATAATGAACCTCATAAAACTCTCATTGACAAATTTTCGATAACTTTGGATTTTAATGAATTTTATCGCGAAGACCATTCAACATGTCGCTAGAAAAAGAAAGAGGAATGATCAGCAAGAAATAAAAATTTGTAAATGATTGCATATTCATTGAAACCCTCAATGGACCACTAGACAGTACAAATTTAAGCACACTAATACGTGTTTCTTAACCAAAGTTTCATGTAGAACACGATTCACACAACGAAAATTACTGAAAACAAATCCTAACGAAGATATTAACCTTTTCATTTCACATTGGTTACGAGGAATTTGAACTGCCCGCTCACAAGAAACTCAAAACTTTACGTGAGTCAAATCGCGCACTACAATGGTTTCAGCAAGCTTCTATATCGAGCAATGTTCATTTCCCACCATGTGTTGTTCAAACTATAAGCAACTTGCTGTAACTGAGCCAAAGCGTCAAGACCGAGGTTGCCAGATTTTTATATCGCTGAGACGTTCATGATAACGTTTAGCGCGCGACGTGAATCACGTAGAGCATTGAGTTTTCATGAGCGGGTGGTTTGAATTTACGCACCAAGAATCATTAAATGTTTTCGTAAAAAGTTAATTTCGGTAATTTTCGTTGTGCGTATCGTGTTTTACATGAAATTTTGGTTAAGAAACATGTATCAGAATGCTGAAATTCGTACCTTGTCTAGTGGTCCATTATACTTCTGGTGTCTCAAACTAGGAGATTATGCAACTTGAGAATAATATCTCAAGTCACAATTTTCAATCGACGTCATACTAGAACTTACTAAAACCAATGATGCTTTGGTAACTAGAGGAGGGAGGAGGAGTCAACTGAGAGTTTGGTTAGCTGCATTTGATTCAAGGTAATGAAAAATTGATTTTCCTCTTTGATTGGTTTTCAAGGATCAGAGTGCCAAAAGAGTGTCATTTCAAAAGCCGTAAGCTAAAATTAAACACTTTTAATCAATCCATTTAGACATTCTATCTGTAAACAAATGTCAATCTGTGTTCTGTAATTACTGCAATGACGTCCATAAGCAGATCCAGGGGAGGCGTAGGGGGCGGACGCTCCCCCCTTTCCATTCGAGAAATAGGAGGAAGATAAAAGATCAAAGAAATAAGGAAGGGATGGAGAAAAAAGGTGAAAGGACGATTAGACTTAACAATTATTCGTGACAAAATTAACTCAAACTGCATATCAGATCCCTTCAAATGTTGAGAATTCTTGGGGGAGACTCCTAGATTCTCCTTACACCCCCCCCTCCTCCGATCGAAGTTCCTTGATTCGTCCATGATGACGTCTAACATGATCATTTGATCATTATTCATTCTTTTATCTTGAAAAGTAGAAAGTAAATTCAGTCGGCAAGAATTTGCCCGCCTTTCTTTGAACAACATTACCCTAACGTGAATGTTTTGTGCTCATTTTTTGTCCTATGTATCAATTTTCAGGCGATTTTGTCCTCCGGCAACGTTGAAAAATTTTACCACTACGAGTATTTTAAGATAGGCACGAACTCGTTGTTCTCTGCGACCGGTGAGTAACAAACATCAGAATTAAATATTCTCCAAAAAAATTCACAAAAAGTACGTATCGATTTTTCTAGCAGTTTTTCCTTGGCGAGAGGAGAAAATGACTCACCTATTGGAAAATATTTGACGCGTATCATGTGAGTCTCCTACAAAAATTCCACAAAAAAAAAAACAAAAAAAAAACAACAACAACAACAACTTCTGTTATTTTTCCCCAGGGACCGAGTGGCGCATTCTTCGTAATATCGTGAATCCAAGTTTTCGGACCAACGTTTTGATGCTTTTTGACGATGATCTTTACCACCATGTCAAAATCTTCGTCAACCACCTCCAGCAACATGTTGGCGCTGATGGGTTTGACATATTTGTTCTTGTCCATTTTTGTACTATAGACATGATCTGCGGTTAGTACAGCAATCAGAGTTACGTGCTCTTTTAATACAACCATCGGAACTTGTTTTGTCATCTTGTGTGCCGTTTTGAAATGCAAATATCTTTTCTAAAATGGGTCGCAAGAAACATGGGAAAGTTCAAACATTCCAATTCTGAATTTCTGTGACCCTGTGCTGCCGTGCTTATGGAGAAATTCGTTTATAAATTTCAATGTTGCCAAGTAGAATTTACGTTTCCGCCCTGGCCAAATTTTTAATTCCCGGAAAATATGTTCAAAATCTGATGATAATTTTTCCCTGACTTTTTGGTGAAAATTTATGAGAGAAATATTCACAAGTTTCCTGGACAATAGGCCTGTTGCAAACTTTTGCTAGAGCAATAATGAGAGTCGTTACTATCAGTGAATGTATCAAAAATCACGATCAGCGCATTGGCAAAGTTTGAAATGCACTCCTAACTTCACTACCTGCTTATGAAAGTTGCGTTTTTTTGAGCTTCCCGCTCCAGAAATGATACTACGGGACAGGTGAGCATTTCATTAGAGGAGCCGTTTCATTCAACCCTTTCGCAATAGCAATACCCAACCCGGCTGACTCCTCCGCTACTCCACTCGCAAATTGCAATCGGGAGCACAAGGTCAACCAAAGCGGATCTTTATCAACGCGAAGAAATCATGAATGTAAACACGCTGCGCTGAGTTGTTTAAAAATGGTTAGAATCTCGTCCAGGCACATATATATTTTGGCGGATTAGTGTCGGCCATGTTGGATATTGTGTAGTATCCTAGTGCACAGGGGTTTTATAGAACGACATCTTTAAAGAAGTGTTCACCTGTGCCGTAGTATCGTTTTTGAAGTGGGAAGCTCAAAAAAACGCAAATTTCCTAGGCGGAATGTGAAGTTAGGAGTGCATTTCAAACTTTGCCTATACGCTCATCTTGATTTTGAGACATTTACTGATGGACACAACTCTTATTAATGCTCTAGCAAAAGTTTGGAACAGGTCCATTCACATTTTGCGATTATCCAAGGCAGACAGGAGGCTTGACTGCTTAAAAACTCAAAATTAAGATGAACGTAGGTGATCAGGCCTCGAGTCTTCGCTTGGCATGTCCATCCGTATTAAAATTTGCTATTTTTTATTTTGTTCATTTCTTTTAAAGCATAAACTACATCGATCATGGAGATTTCCAATGTCATTCTAATCGTGATCATATTAGTGACAGTTGATTTATTAAAGTGGCATATCTTTTATTTCAGACAACATGCTGGGATCTCGGTTGGTGAGTCAAGAAAATCGTTCGAAGTTTATTTCTGATAATATAATAAAGTGAGTAAAATATTTTCCGAATGTTGATTGGACCCAACAAAATACTAAGTGATTTGATATGACACACACACCCTCCCTCACAAAAAAAAAAAAAAAAAAAAAAAAAAAAAAAAAAAATCTTCCCAGGTAAAAATGGTGACAATGGACCCCGCAAAATGATCGCATAATCACATGTAGCCGAATCTGATGAGACAACTTGATTAAATCATTGGTAATCGATTCCTGAATTTCTTCAGTTTTAAGATTCACTTGTTCTAAATTCTGATGTTCATCAGATTGAGCTGCAGTGATTCAATGAAAACATATGCTAAGATTGTGGCCAATGAGAAACCTTAAACTTGAAGAATTTTTTTTCTTTTTCTCATAATATATCATGTAACAGTTATATTTAGATAGCACTAGAAGTTACTCTTGTCATAACCTATTGCCATCTAAGTGTGAGCCTGATCGATACCTCAACCAATGGGTTTTAGAAAGCTCCTTCAGAAAGCAACTTATGCAACAGTAATAACTTTATGACTGTGCTTGTTTGCATACCCACCTTTTTGCAGGAATTTTAACGTGTCTCAAAATAACTGACAAGAGAAAGCTTCAAAAAGTCCATAAAAGGCAAAAATCCAATGTTTTAATTGAAGAGGACGTCAAAAACATAACTTAATCAATCTCGTAGAAATGTTTTGTATGATAGGCTGTAGGGTTAATCATTAAAAATAATATATTCTATTAACTTCGTAGATGGGCTGAGTCGACTTTTGAAAGAGCATTTTCTGTGCTCTGGCCAGATTTTTACTTTACGTTGTCCGGACAGGAAAAATTAAGAAAAGAATCAATTGATATAAATCACGACCTAATTTGTAAGGTAAGATTGTCACTCGTATAATAAGTTTAAACTAGTAACAAGTGTTTATAATATTTATATTTTGAATCTTTGAAATATTTTTTTGTAAATAGCCATAGAATTACCCCCAAAAATTACTCCATATCAATGTGGAAATAAAGTCTCTCTGATTTTCAAAGCAATTTTCAAAAAGTACAATAAATCATGAAGAAAACTACAAAGTATTATTTATTTTTATGAATTAAGTCCGACTTTTCTTTCATATTTTTTTGATACACTAAAGAAAATAATACTGTTCGTAGGGCTCCGGATGCACTTTCTTTGTTACTACACTTAGAGAAGTTTCTGTTATGAAAATAGAGTACTTCGTGCTCACGACTGAGTTCTATTCTCGCAACAGAGGTGTTCTGTTAGTATAACAAAGAAAGTGCAGAAGCCTTGTGAACAGAAGGTCCTGTCATCAGTACTGACAATTTTTTCCGTGTGTTTCCGCTTTGATTTATTTTTCCCGATTTTTTTTTCGCCCAATTGATACTTCCCGGATAGGCTCGTTCAAAATTAAAATTGACTGGTATTGAAATCCTGCACTTGGAGTCCATTCTCGAGGATATGTGCAACAAATTAAAGGTTAAGCATAATGATGGAAAAGTGTACAAAACCCGACTCAAAGAGTTTTAGTAGAATTAGTCGTGAAGTACCAATGTGATCGTTATAGTCTCAGCAAGAAAATAATCCAATGTTTCCGAAAGTCATGGAGAGCTACATTTGCTTTATTTCAGATGATTGAAGAGCGAATCAGGAAACGAAAGGCGCTCCGAGAAGAGAGTCAGCAATCCGGTAAGTAAGTAACACAGTAGGAGATAGGTATGGTGTTATTTCTTTATACCAGTAAAAATTTTAATACGTATCTCGAGAGTTAAACTTGATTGGAATGCCCTCGATTTTATTCAATAAGTGCTCCACGGAAAAAGACACTTTTTATGCAAGTTGATAGATGATTCTGAGAAAAAGAAAGTGAGTTATTTTTTGGAATTTGACTGAAATGAACAAGCATAGATCAGTCATGTTTTACACTTTTTTAGTTCAAAATGTATATCAACGTATGTATGAAGTAACCGCTTTTGCAGCGAAAGCTTTGCGCGCTGCGACACTTAGTCGCCATTGCCCCCATGCCCCCTGTCGGAGATTTTGCATGTGTCGGAAAGAAGAACTCTGTGTTCAAGTGGTAACCACTGAAGGAACTCCACATGAGGATACCCTTGGTCCGTAAATTGTACAATTATTGGAGGAGATCTGTCAGAAGGATCTAGTTTGCTAATACACGTGTTGAAATGAAAAATTCCACCAAATGACGTCACTAGGCGGTGCAAGTTCTCTTTTTAAAATCTATTTTTATAAAAATTTCTTATTGAAAATAAAAAAATACTGAGAAATTACCTCTTCAAGCATTCTCAGATGTAGAATTAGAAAAATTGCGTTCAAAATGTTCCATTGACACCCTCTAATCTCCCCATCTACTCCTTATCACCAATCATTCACAAAATGCCCACGTTGTCTCCCTCCGACGGGGAATAATTGTACACGAACTGTTTAAAAACCATCTCAACAATTTTTATTTAACAACATTAGTTGCTTATCTATTAAAGAAGTAAATTGACGTTTGCGATGCTCGAACCAACACACACAAATGTCTTCATACTTTCAGCATTTGATATACACAGATATACTACTTGTATTTTCATTGGAATATTAATATTAATCTTATCTATCATTACAGAAAATTCACGAATATACATCGATATTTTGCTGGATAATGTTGATGCAGGCGTCCTGACGAAAGATCAAATTACTTCAGAGATATTAGAGATTGTTGTTGCAGTAAGTATCGAACCATATTCAAAAATAGAGAAACGATAGAACAAGGATGCTTAGATATCCCAAACATTATAGGGATGGAAATAATTATTTTCAAAACTTTTTTTTTTTTTTTACCAAAACTTTCTCATCACTGAAATCGTATGAAAACATTTCAGAAGCAATAAGAAGAAATAATACTTTAAATAATGTACGATATGGCAAAATGCATTGACTGTCCAAAAAGTAATGCAATGATCGACTTTTAAAGCAAATAGAGAAAACTTACAAAAAATCAGTGCACATATTCGTGAAGACGGTGTAAAACCTTGACCTTGAGACCTTGTTAAGCTCTTTTGTCAAAAATTGACGGAGATATGACGTTTCTCACGCGGCATATTGAGAGACCACCTCCAGGATTTTAGGGGTACTTTTTGAGAAGAAAAGAACAAGGCAGCGACAAATACTACTTCTGTCTGAACAATCGTCCTTGTACACTTCTCTTATTTCTTTATACGTATCATTAATTTAATATTCAATGCCAAAAGTTTCTTAATTATGTTTATACGTGTCGGAGATGCATCTGAAAGAAATTATGTTGTCGGCTGTTACTGCTTTCTCTAGTTTAAAAATAAATTTTTTTTATGATTTTTCTTTAAAAAAGGGCTCTATCACAACAGCAATCACAAATGCGTGGGTTTTTAAGCTGCTGGCGCTGTATCCCGATATCCAGGAGCGAGCTTATCAAGAAATCAAGGAAAATTGTGTGGAAGGAGAAGTGAGGTTGAGTGATCTCTCTAAATTTGTATACACAGAGATGATTATCAAGGAGACCCTTAGGCATTTTGGACCTCCTATGGCAGGCCGATACATTACGGAGGACCTTCAAGTTGATGGTAAAAAATGTGAAATAAATTAAATTACACAGGGAAACCTATAGTTAAACGGCCAGAATGCAGGAACGAGGTTCAAGGGTTCGAATAATACTTCTTCTTTTGAATTTTTTTCTTCTTTTTCTTTTTCTGAAATTACAATCAGTCGCAGCTACAGCTTCCCGAGATGTCGAGAAAATTATCGTTTTTCTCTGAATTTTGAAGACGGTGATGGGCCAAAACTCACAAAAAAGATAGCATTCTATAATTTGTAGCACAAAATGCATCCTTTAACTAAAAATATTGACGTTTCAGGTTAAGTGGGAGAAATAATAGATATTTTCATCAGTAAAAAATGAATTGAACCTGTTTGAAGTTTACGAGTCTTATTACATATATAATACATTTCCTTTGAAAACAAAGCAATGTTCTTCCAGTGGATTTTGACAGACTCTCTTTGCCTTTGCTTCACAGACAAAATGACTATACCAGCAGGAATGAACATTTTTATTTGCCTCCATGAGCTTCACCACGATCCAAAGTACTGGCAGAGACCTGGGGAGTTTTATCCAGATCATTTTTCACCAGCCAATGAAAAAGCCAGACCCAAAGGCGCATTCAGCCCATTCATGGGTGGACCCAGAGTCTGTCCAGGTATCTTATTTCTAAGAGCTCTTTATTTTTGAGACACAAATATATTGTTTTGTTTATTCTTACTCGTCAAAAATTTTCTTTGTGAAAGCAATCAGCGAAACAATTAATACATAATTTCATGAACACAAATTCTAGCAGCGTGAACTCAAATGGCATGAACAAGTCTTTCGGGATGAGAACTTTTGGGAAAACCCTCTATCTGCTCGACACCGAGTCATGCTTTTTTTATCGCCTCTTCCTCTCTTCGTGGATGCCTTTCAGGTTAAAAGTTCCCCTAAAACAGCATCCGAAATGCAGTTTTGATACTCATTCTATTCTTTAAGCAGATAGGTTCTTTGTTCAAAGTTCAAATACAGATTGCTTTTTACCTCATAAGTGAGTAAATTTCTATCTCATCTATTATTTCAATAACATACAAATAATTAACATAAAATTCTTTTGATCTAGTGGTGAAGGGTGGATGATCGATTATCGATATTTTCCGCGTTTAAAGAAATGGTAGAAGATCGATTATTAAGGTGTTCTTCGGTAACACCCTGTTTACGATCCTTGTCCATAGGTTCAAATGGCAAATCAATCAATATATCGCAAATCACGCGACGCCACTGCTTTGATCATCATCGACATAATGCCCATCGATCACTTTTTCAGGAAGCAAGTATGCAATGAGATCAATGAAGTTCTTGGTCGCCAGCACTTTGTCGCAGTACAAATTCTCAACTGATGAAAAACCCGCAGATGATCTTAGAGATATGGACTATCGTTTAGTATTCATGCTTTTTCCTACCTCTGGATTCAATGTTAAAATACAACAAAGGTGATAGAAATTAAAATTCCCTTTACAATCAATGCTGAGATTACCAAAAGATTTGAAAACTCATGTACTGAAATATTCTATGATATTAACTTATTTTAACTTTTATAAGATACGATTTATCCATAACTTCCAACAACTCACATATTTGAGTTTTCAAGAACAGCGTGATTATTTGTATACTAATTGTTATATTTTCTATGAATAAAAAAAAAAAAAAAAAAAAAAAAAAAAATCAATGCTGAGATTGGAGTAACTCCATAGAAACTTTAGATTATGTGGACGTATTTCTGCTAAACTGAACCAGAAACAGATAGGGAGGAAGGGGTGTGCTAAGCTGTGCTCGTCAGTTGAGGGGCGTAATAATGAATGGGAATTATATGGCGCCAGTGACGTCAGCGGCGACGATGCGACGAGAAGGCACACGGTCGAGAATGTATAACTCATGAGCCGTGACTACAACGCTCTTTTGCCATGCTCACGGCTCATGAGTGCCTCATACAGTTGGCGCTTAGTTCCGTTTGGCAGAATGTTAAATCCCACTTTTCCATTTACCCATCACGGAAAAAAAGTATCGCAATCCCATGCCCAACGATACTTCTAGCTGATTTTGGCGCTTGTTTTAGTTAAGTTTTTGATCAACTGTTTTTGGCAATTTTCAAAATATACTTTTTTATTTTGAATAATTTTATTATTATCTCATTTTATTAGCTCGTGGGAAAAATGGAGTTCCCTCCAAATTTTGGCTCCTTAGATCTGCTGAAAATGAATAGGAACCTAGAGGAAACTGAACCAACTTCAACAAAAACGCACAAATTCACGTTATGGAAAAAAATTCGCAAAATAAATTAAGTAATTTTGGATTCAACACGTCGTAAATTTTTCCTGTCAAAAATTCGAAGTCGAGTTAAAATATTTTGAGCATGTAAACTGTCATCCAATTTTGTCCGGAACATTTAGTCCTACGGAGGATTATCGCTTTAAACCTCTTTTTTCCCCTCTAACTGTCGTTCCTCTCACGAGAGAACATATCTGTATTTCAATTTCGCAAAAATCCTCTCGCAAATTGCATTTTTACCAGGATAATCTTGGACATTTTCTCCTGAAAACTCCACTGAGTTTTCTTTCAATGTTATGCAAATATTAGGAAAATTAAGGACAAAAATTCACCACATGCATTCTTGTAAGAAATTCAATTTTATTGAGTCGATTTTGCAACGTTGGAATGGAGTCACGTTCTTTAGTCTGGTAAACAACGAAACTTGATATGACTAGATGCGCTTTTGTTGAACGTAGTCCATCTCATCTGTAGAGCAAACAGTTTTGTGCAGTTAGCACTACCCAAGTAGCACAGATTGCAATACGTAGTAATTATATTGTAACAAATTGCTATTCCACTGAGTGTTGTGTATGTTGCCTAGATCCTATTTGAAGGGGCTCCGTTTATCTAAACTTATTGCAATAAAATTGAAATAAGTTGCAATTTTTCAATGCATTGCATATTGCCTATCTTTCTGATACATGGACCTCATTTTGTTGATTGTTTAAAATCTGCATAAAGCGACTAAATGATGTAAAAATAGTGTAACTTAATGGTAATAAAATTACCATTGTATCGAAATCAAATCGCAATTCAATTTCAATATATTTTCGTTACACTGTGCTACTTGGGTAGCAGCACATTCTTGATTTCTCACAAAGGATTTCCTCTTCTAGGAGACGACAAATGAATCACTCTTCATAATTTCCAATTCAATTATCCCGAAAAGAGTGCTTAAATCGAACTTAGGAGGAAGGATGAAATCCCAAAGTCGGGTAAATTGATTACGATGGAAACTTACGATGCGTGTGCGCGCAAAGGAGTGCCTTTACTCCCGATGCATGCAGCACTGAGAGAAGTACTATTATTTTCACCCACGACTCTTGAAGTTCAGCTTTTTGTTTGTCCCCGCAAAGTTGCTCGGCGGGGACTTTGCTCGCTGAAGTCGTGATTTCGACATAAAATACCTCCTGATGTGAGGAAAAACCAATTGTTCGGGAATTAGAAGTGGTGTCGTCGAGTGCTGTGTTGTCAGATTTTAGAGTCACACGCTCGTGGGAAAAAGAAGGAAAAAACTGTTCGATACGATTTAGCTGTGGGTTCCGCTACCGAGATAAGGAAAAATGCCGGATGTTGCCTAATTGCCCTTGAAAACAATTTACTTTTGGGGGAATCTGTGAATAAATTTCCTTGGAATTTTAAGCTACTGTGGATTAAATTTCAAAGGAATTCTCTGAAAAATCGAGAGAAAAATGTCTACAAGTTTTCTTGAAATTTTTATTTATCAGAGATTTGACAGCGCGTCTGAAGGCTCATATGACGTTCTTCCTCAGTGTGTTGTAGCATACTGCACAATTTGACTACATTTTGCAATTTGGACCTATAAATTCTGGCCCGGTATAAAAATAACGTATATGTGCCTTTAGTTTCCCTATGCACATACGTGTTTTCCAGAAGAGCCAGAATTTATAGTTCCAAATTGCAAAATGCGGTCCAATTTTTCTAACACTTTATCGGCACTATGAACACTTTTTTCAATACAAATTAAATTTTTTTCAAAAACCTATGGGCGGCCCGCCTGAAATGGTCATCGTGCGTAAAGAATAAAATAAGTCTTTTAAGTTTAATCGGTTTTTGGAAAAAAATTAATTTGTATCGAAAAAAGTGTTTTTTCTCAGCACGGCGGTATGGGGCACATGTGTGAGTTCTTACTGAGTTTTTAACAATAAATAAGTTGAGCTTTAAATTTTCATCGTAATCTCTCTTGAGGAATACTAAAACATGTATTTTTGACGAAATTAATGTGCAGTAAGTCGACTATTAATGAATTTCCTCTGCCACAAACGCAATAAAAGAGCGTTGCAGGCCTCATACTCTCTTTTACAGAAAAATTCCTCAAATATTAAGCAAAGTACTTGACCGTTGATTGTAGAAATCAAGGAAAAATTTCCTAGTTGCTCTTGCCGCATGTCGGTTAACAACGGTAAATACCTCTGCTTCAGATCGCCTTCAAAACGGTGAGTAGGCAGAAAGTCACTCACGCACTACATCAAATGATTCAAATGACTCGTTGAGTCGTTGTATACTGTTTGAAGAATTTAGCTAACTCACGCTTAATTTAGAGGGTGATGCATTACGTTGTTCTTTCTGTTGGTGTAAGTTACATTAGGGACAACTGTACGAGGGAGGAAAATATATGACCAACTTTTAGAAGCAATATATTTTGAGACAGCGCACTGAGACCACTGGACAAGGTTCGAATTTAAGCATTCTGATAAATGCTTTTTAACCAGAATTCCACGTAAAATACGATTCTTGCATTGAAAATTACTGAAATAAACTCTGTACTAAGATATTTACGTTTTAATTTTACATATCATTTACGGGACATTTGAATTGTCCAATTATAAGAAACACAATACTCTACGTGATTTAAATCCTGCACTACAACGGTTTCGGCAGGCTTCTCAATCACAAATTGTTCATTTTCCACCATTTATTGTTCAAAGTGTACAAACAATTTGATATAGTTGAGCCAAAGCGTCAAGATTGAGATTGCCATATTTTCGTATCGCTGAGACTGCCACGGTAACGTCTAGTTTGCGATCTGACTTATACGTAGACCATTGTGTTTTCATGAGCGGAAGGTTTGAATTAATGCGTTAAAAAACATTAAATATCTTGGATAGGAGTCAATTTCAGTCATTTCGTTGCACAAATCGTGTTCTACATGGAATTAGTTCAGAAACATGTATCAAAATGCTTAACTCTGTACAAGTGGTCCATTGTATAATAATAAAGTATCCTTAATTGGAGTTTATAGGTTGACTGTTCTTTAGGGCCCTAAAACCTGCATAACCGAACCTCCAAATGGACGTAGTTCTACCAAAGAGACCTATGTGGAAGTGAGAAATATGGGGTGTGCTCGTTAGTTCTCTTGCGTAAGAGTTAATGAGAATAATTGTGCGCCAGTGACGTCAGCGGTGACGACGGGTATCCTCACGAAGGCGGGAACGTTCTTTAACTCATGAGCCCTGTGCACAAGGCTCTCTTGCCATGCCCGCGGCTCATGACTCCCGCGTTCAGTTGGCACATAGGTCTCTTTGATAGAATGCAATATCCCGCTTTTCCAATTCTTCAAAAGGAACCACGCCCACTTTTACATTGCTTCTTATGCAGATTTCTGGAGCATACCCCATATTTCTCACCGCCACATAGGTCTGTTTGGTAGAAATACGTCCAAATGGATGTACTTCTACCAAACGGAACTATGTGCATTAAGACATGAGCCTTGAGACCCATAAGAATATGTGCATAACAGGACTCACGTCATAATGCACATAGTGCAGTGCCGTTTGATAGAAAAACGTCCAAATAACCGACAAGTCCGCACTCTCCCCTTATACTGCCGTGCTAACGAAGAACGTCGTATGAACATTCGAGACTTGCCGAATTTTCCTTGATAAAACATGACTTTTTGACGACATTCATGCATATTTTTCCTTGAAATTTTCAGATATTGTAGATTCAATTGCTTACAAAATTGCCTGAAAAGTTCGGGGGGAAAAATTCTCAATTCTTTCGGTAAATTCGGTTTTTATCGAAGGAAACTTGGCAACGTCTGAAGGCTCATACGGCGTTCTTCCTTAGCACGGCAGTATACCTCACGATTTGCGCGCGGAAGCGTCAGCCATGTTAAATATTGCGCAGCATCCTAGTGCGCAAAGTTTGGATGGAACAATTCCTCTCATGCCGGAATCAGACGCTGAATTTAGCAGCTGAATGTGGAAGTCAACAGTCATCGCCCAACGGCTGAAATTTCGCAAATTCGAGTTATTTTCATCCAGACGTGTATCAAATCTACTCGAATAGTTCAGACAAATCCAACAATAGTCCGATGGTTGCTGAGAATGGTTGCTGAATTTTGTGCGTCATGCGCAAAATTCAGGCATCGGGCCGATGACTTCCACATTCAAGCCACATTCAGCTCCCACATTCAGCGTGTAATTGCGGCATTACGGAATTCTCAACTGTGCTGTATTCTCAATTTTGAAGCGGGAAGCTTAAAAAACACATATTTCTTACGCAAATGGGCCTGTTGCAAACTTTTGCTAGAGCAAAACTAAGAGTTGTTTCCTGCAGATAATGCCTCAAAAATCACGATGAGCGCATCGGCAAAGTCTGAAACGCACTCATAACTTCACAATCTGCGTAAGAAATTTGCGGTTTTTTGAGCTTCCCGCTTCGAAAACGATACTACGGTACAGGTGAACATTTTGTTAGAGGAGTCGTTCCATTGGCGACAATACTCATCATGGCCGACGCCAATCCGCCAAAACACGTTTGATGGGACGAGATAACACTTGAACAGGATTAAACCATATAACAATCGGCGTGTTTACGTTCATATTTTCCTCGCCCGCCTTAATTGACCTTGAACTCTCCTCGAATTACGCGAGGAACTGCGCAAGCGTCGGCCATGATGAATATTGCCGACGATGGAGCGACTCCTCTAACAAAATGTTCACCTGTGCAGTAGTATCGTTTTTGAAGCGGGAAGCTCAAAATAACGCAAATTTTTAAAGCAGATTGTGAAGTTATGAGTGCATTTCAGACTTTGCCGATGCGCTCATCGTGATTTTTGAG